GAATGGTGGGATTCAAGCTTGGCTTCTTGGTGTGAATCTGATACTGAATCCATAGCAGGATCTTGGATTTTCTGTTGTTTGTGTTAGTTGTTAATTAGGAAAGTAGATTGAGGAGAGTTAAAATATTTTGAGTACCTGAGAGACCTTGTTTCTTTGAATAGTGTTGGCAGGATAATAGTTGTTAAGTAGATATATAGCAAATGGTTTATAAAATAAATGAATTTAAAAGGTGAAAAGTATTTCCATTCAGAAAGCAGGGGAAATGGGAAGATTCTAGAAGCATAATCAAGGATTAGAGTGAAACTAATCCAGACACGTTTCTATCTCCTTCAGGTCTAGTTATCCTTGAATGTTTCTCTTTTATATCCTTGTCTATCCATTCACCTGATCATACTATATGCTGTACTATTACAAGATGGCCTGTCTCTATCCCTGTTTTCTGAGTTCATCAACTACATTGGATCAGTCATTTGTTCCTCACCTCTGCATTCTGTTAATTGTTCTTTATGATTGTTTTATTTTATCTTTCTTTCCTTTAGACAGGAAGAGTAACCTTGACAGTCCCCAATCGTGTATTTTGGCGTCTTTTTCCTTCCATAATAAGACACTGAAAGGAGTCACAAAGGATGGTTCATTGTACTCCATTTTAAAAGTCTGTCAAGGTGATGGCCAGCTGCAGAGATGTCCAGAAAACCAAGACAGAATTTTCAGTCAAGTAACAGTTATCAATAACAAAACAGTGACTGTGGAGTCAGGCCATACATATAATGCATTGGGAAAAATATTTCGAGAGTGCCTAGAGCCAGATACTTTAAGACAAAGACCCCATAACTGTGATGCATTTAAAAAGTACTTGAAATCTAATATTGACCTACCTAGTTGTAATAAGACCAATTCAAGGAAAAGCCCTGATGAGAGTTTTGGATATGGAAAATCATCTAGCCAAGATGCGTCCAATTCTAATCTTGAGAAAATTCAAAATGGAGTAATACCCTGTGATGATAATCAGTGTGGAAACATTTTCACCAATAAACAATCCCTTATTCAATATCAGAATGTTGCAACTAGGGAGAAAACCTGTGTATGTATTACATGTGGAAAAGCCTTTGCTAAGAAGTCACAGCTTATTGTACACCAGCGAATTCATACTGGAAAGAAACCATATGATTGTGGTGCATGTGGGAAAGCCTTTAGTGAGAAGTTTCATCTCATTGTACACCAGAGAACTCATACTGGGGAGAAACCTTATGAATGTTCTGAATGTGGAAAAGCCTTCTCTCAAAAATCATCCCTCGTTATACATCAGAGAGTTCACACTGGGGAAAAACCATATGAATGTAGTGACTGTGGGAAAGCCTTCTCCCAGAAATCACCCCTCATTATACATCAGAGAATTCACACTGGAGAGAAACCTTACGAATGTAGAGAGTGTGGGAAGGCTTTCTCCCAGAAGTCACAGCTGATTATACATCATCGAGCTCATACAGGAGAGAAGCCATATGAGTGTACTGAATGTGGGAAAGCCTTCTGTGAGAAGTCCCACCTCATTATACATAAAAGAATTCACACTGGAGAGAAACCTTACAAATGTGCTCAATGTGAGGAAGCCTTCAGCAGGAAGACAGAACTCATTACACATCAGTTGATTCATACTGGGGAGAAACCTTATGAGTGTACTGAATGTGGAAAGACCTTCTCCCGGAAGTCACAGCTCATCATACATCAGAGAACACATACCGGAGAGAAACCCTATAAATGCAGTGAATGTGGAAAGGCCTTCTGTCAGAAATCACATCTCATTGGACATCAGAGAATTCACACAGGAGAAAAACCTTATATATGCACGGAATGTGGGAAAGCCTTCTCTCAGAAATCCCACCTCCCAGGACATCAGCGAATTCATACAGGAGAGAAACCTTACATATGTGCTGAATGTGGAAAAGCCTTTTCGCAGAAGTCAGACCTTGTTTTACATCAGAGAATCCATACTGGAGAAAGACCCTATCGCTGTGCTACATGTGGAAAAGCCTTCATCCAGAAGTCACAACTCACTGTGCACCAGAGAATTCATAACAGTAGTAAAACCATAATGAACTGAACACAGAAAAGCCTTCAGTATTAGCTCAAGCCTTAAATACTGGAACCCTGATAAATTTGGAGCGTTTGTGGAAGACATCATTGTGAATAAAGTTTTACAGGAGAATTCAAGTCTGTAATGTGATGATACCTAACTCAGCAAAGATGATGGGAAATAATTATGTAAATGAAGAACATTTTCAACATGACACGCTGAGCTTCTAAAGTTAGGAACTTTAGTCAGTAGAACAAGTTACGTGTTGAGAATGTTGTCAAGTTACATATTCCTTATTATGCCACTTAACAATAACCAAACATTATGAAATTGCTAATATTAGCTTATCATAATTTTGGCCATTTTCTCTCTATGAAGAAAGCTTGAGTTGGGGCCGGCAGAGTGGCTCAGTTGGTTAAGAGTTGGCTTAAGAGCGCGAGGTCTGAGCAACAGGGCTGCCGGTTCAATTCCCACATGGGCCAGGGATGCACCCAAGCCGAGATGTCGCTGAGCTGCCAACAGGTGGCAGGATGGCTCAGCTGGTGTAACAACAAGATTGCCTGTTCCATGGTGGGCTATGCCCACCTGCAACTAAGACTGAACTCGGCACCTTGAGCTGAGCTGCTGCCTGGATGGCTTAGTGGATAGAGAGTGTGCTCTTAACAACAAGACTGCTGGTTCGACTCCTGCATGGGATGGTGGCTACGCCCTCCCACAACTAAGATTGAACACAGCACCTTGAGCTTAGAGGCCACAAGCAGCTGACGGGCAGCCAGATGGCAACTGGCGCCCTCCACAATGAAGATTGAAGAACAACAACTTGGCTGGTCCCCTTCCCCAATTTCCCAACACTGTTCCCCTCCCCTAATTCCCCAATAAAATCTTTTAAAAAAGGAAAAAAGAAAGAAAACTTGAGTTAAAAAAAAAAAATCAGTTCCTAGAAACTGCATTATAAGGAGGGGCTTAGCGTGACCCCTAAAGGTACATGTAAAATTCTTGTACAAAGATGGAAAGATGGGTTAATCAGATTCAGTAAAGGTGATGTTCATATATTTTTCCATTTCAAGCATATAAGTTGGCCTGTATCTCTGGAAGTATCCTGGATCTTGAAATAGATGCTTCTGAACAAGGCCTTCCCTTTACTCTTCCTCACAGGGAATTTGGGATGGTAGAGAGGCTTCAATACTGAACCAAGTGGTCTTGGATTTAAATCCTGGCTCAACTACTCACAGATTGTAGGACTTCAGGCAAGCCTGCTTCACCCATCTGAATATTTTTTTCTTACTGGTAAATCAAAGTACAACATAGAGCACCTTTTTAGTTAATGCCAGTTCTTTATAATCTTTCTATCCTCCTGCAGCAGGACGCTAAGACTAATGTGTAAAAGACACATCTGAACTTGCTTTGCATTCCAGACACTCTTGCTTTTGATATTTTATTCCTACGACTGGTTCATTTTACTGTTTTTGATCCTGGTGGCCTTGATTCTTGGTATGTTAAAGTGACATTTTATTATACTTTTATTATGTTTTACACCCGCTTATATAAACTGTGGTGATTGTACATAAAGACCCTAATGCCTCCAGTTCCTTTCTGACCCCTACCCTGCAGCCCCAGCTGTTTTTCCTGGGAACCGAGGGCACTTAACAGAGGAAGTTTCTTGAGGTGATCAGTCATGCCTGCCATAGATTTGAGAGTTTGATATCTCTAAAATATCCCCTGCCCTCCTTCCTGTGGTTTTACATATTCTGCCATGAGCACCTTTAGAGGAGGACCCACGCTGGAGGTGCCCTGCAGGAAAGCATACCTGGCAAGGATGAGGGTGTCTGTATAGATAAACAGTTTACCCATGTTCACGTAGTTCCCACTTGATTCCTTCACATTTCCTGGTCACCTGATCCCCTTCTTGCATGGCTGAACTGTCTGTTGTGAAATGACGGGGCCCCTCTAGGTGAGAACCTCTGCAGGGGAGAGGGCACACCTGACAGAGATGTGGGAACTTGTGTGGGCAAATTCCTGGTCTCATGAACAGTGAGCTGAGAACACTAACATCAGATATAGTTGACCATTCAGGCCTGGGAAAGAAGGTCTAGGGATACATTTCATGGGTTGAGCTACTCTGAGGTTTCCTCATGGAAGATGCCCCAACTGGCCCTTTTGAAGGCATGAGAAGGATAAGGGATCATGTTGGGAATACACAGAAATTAATGAAAAGGGAGTTCTATATACTAACAGCTCTGGAACTTATGCAGATATAACAAAGATACACAATTCCCACCTTACAGGTCTCCCATTTGATCTTTCCACTGTCACAGCCCCCAGGCAACCTCATAGAACTGATCATGTTTATATAAAAATCCTACTTCAGAATTAGCATCTACTGGTTTAACACTTCACCACTCTTTTTCAGCATTTTGCTAGAGGAGCTAGTCAGTGCAGGGAGGCAAGAAAAAGAAATAATAGGCATAAGGATTGGAAAAGAAAAAGTAAAATGAATATTATTTGCAGATGATACACTTGTGTATAAAGAAAACAAAACTAGGGCCAGCCGAGTGGCTTAGATGTTTGAGTTGGCTTAAGAGCGCAAGCTCTGAGCAACAGGGCCGCTGGTTCGATTCCCACATGGGCCAGTAAGCTGCGCCCGAGCTGAGCTGCCACTAAGCTGCCAACAGGTGGCAGGATGGCTCAGCTGGTGAGAGCACATGCTCCCAATGACAAGATTGCCTGTTTGATGGTGGGCTACGCCCATCCACGGCTGGGACTGAACTTGGCACCTTGAGCTGAGCTGCCGCCCAGATGGCTCAGTGGATAGAGTGTGCGCTCTTAACAGCTAGGTTGCCGGTTCAATTCCCACATTAAAACAAAAACAAAAACAAGAACTTTTAAACAGTTTTAGTGGAAAACTGATAAAATTCAAATATGAGTTTTATATCAGTTAATATGATACTGTACCAATGTTAATTTCCTAGTTCTCATAATTGTACTATGGTTATGTAAGATGTTAACATGAGGAGAAGCTGGGTGAGGAATATCATGACTATTATATTTGCAACTTTTCTATAAGTCTAAAATATGCTCTTTTTTAAAAAAAGAATATTCATTTTTGCTTATTAGTAGTTAAAAGAAATTATTCTCAGTATCTGGCAAAGAGCACAAATTATGTAGTCAGAAAGACATAGCGTGAAATCCTAGCTGTGGTGACCTGTGCAGGTCACTTCAGTCCTCTGAACTTCCATTTTCTTCATCTGTAAAACTGAGATGGCAGTGCCTTAATCATAAAATTGTTATGAGCATTAGACATGCGTGTGACATGCCATGTGCAGTACCTGGCACAGAGTAGGTAAGCAGCAAGACTAAGATTTTCTTCCCGTAGGAGACATCAATTCACTATGCAACTGAGTTGACCTAGTGCCCTATGGAGATCACAGTCCACAGAGGAAGACAGATCCTTTCAATATTACACAATTCCGTTGTCATGCTACTTATCTACCTTGTACTATTCATTATTTAGCATTTGTGATGCTCATGAACAGGTGAATAAAAAAAAGAGAACTATGGTTCACCAGTGAACCTTCTCATACACCTTTATTTTACAAAGTATTATCAACAAATACAGTGAATGTTAAAATTTTAAAAAGTTATTACAGTAAAAGACACATTGCCATTAATCCCCCTCAAAATACTCCACTTCAAACACACTTATTCCATCATTCTTGCCACTTTCTGAAGCAGTTCTGGAAGTCATGGCTGCCTCAATGTCCGGAATCAATTGGAAACATTCACCTTTCATGGTCATATTGACTTTGAGGAAGAGCCAGAAGTCACATGGTGCCAGATCCGGTGAATAAGGTGAGTGAGGACACACTGTAATGTTTTTATTTGACAGAAATTGCTGTACCAGAATTGATGTGTGACACAGTGTTGTCATGATGGAGGGTAAAGTAAAGACACGAAAGAGGACTTGCAGAACTGCTTCAGAAAGTGGCAAGAATGATGGGAGAGGTGTATTCAAAGTGAGGAACAGTACTTTGAGGAATTAATGGCAATATGTCTTTTACTGTAATAACTTATTTTTAATTTAAACATTCGCTGTATCTTTTGATCATACCTCGTATATAGTTTTATTCATATATCTGCAGAATTGATTCCTAGAAGTGACACTGCTGACCAAGGAGTATTTTACATTTTGATAGCTACTAACAAATTGTTCATGTGTGCACAACCATAATGAACTGCTTCTGACGTATGGTGATCATGAGGAAACAGGCAACGGTTAAAAACAAAATGCTTCCTCGTAGTTAAAAATGACCCACATCAGATCAGACTGTCTGAGTTGTAGTCATAATTTTTCGAGAATCGAGTTAGCGATCAGGATTCTGTACAGGGTGTTACAGCATTGGGAATGAGGTTAGAGAAACTGACATCTAAGGAATCTGAAATTCAGCCCTGGGGAAACCCCGCACATATGACTTATTTGACCCTGGCCCTTCCAAATGTGATGTGTTTTTTTGTGTTTTTTTTTTTAGCTGAGCCATCCTGCTACCTGTTGGCAGCTCAGCGGCTGCTCAGCTCGGGCTGGACGCGAACCGCGGTTGCTCAGAGCTCAAACTCTTGAGCGAGCTCTTAACCAACTGAGCCATTCGGCCGGCCCTGTGATGTATTTTTTAGATGAGCCTCGGAGAGCACTAAAGACTACAGGACCAGCCTTAGGCTTCTCTCCCAAAGCACCCTGGCCCTGGCCCCATCTTTTAGAGTTTCTGCTAAGTCTTACCTCTGGGCTCTGCTGTCTTCTACCTCCAAGATGGGTATGTCCGTTGGGCCCTCAGCTGAAATGGCCTGAGTACTGTTGCAACCCTCCCCTGTTTGTCTCAGGAGGTAAATGAGGTTTTTACAACATACAAGATGTTCTCTCTCATCTGAAGGTGGACACAGTGGAAGGTAAGAAGAACAGCCAGTGACAAAGCTTATTGTCAGATGGAGGTGGACAACTGTGCAGATGTTGGGCTGTGCTTCTGAAGCTTCATGGAGAAGCTGGCTAGTGGTGGAGTTGGAAAGTCCTCAGCGCAGAGGTAGGTGAAACCAGGAGATGGGGAGTTGACCAGAGACAGGGAGGAAGAAATGGAATCCAGGAAGGAAACAGAAGTAACAGTCAAGGAAACAAGGGAAACCAGGACAGCGTGTTGTCACGGGTGC